ATTTTGAGTTTTGATTATCAGGAACACTGGTCAAATTCCTCAGTCTCAAGTGACAAATTTTAAGGCACACTTTCCGATTACGGCCCCGTCTTCTGCATTCACCGCCCACACTCATCTTCCTCCATCATTTCCTCCGTCGTGTCTTCCACGCGCTGCCCTGGGTCTGACCGTGGGGAGGAGGAGATTTTGCTGTTTCAGGACTTAAGTCGAACAACTTCTAGGCATAAAAAGATGTATTATAAGCCGTCACCGCCGATGTCTGGTCCGGCATTCTCATGGCGGCGTCTGGTGTCCCGAGAGCGGCGGTGTGATATTGGTGCAAACGACGTCGCTCGTGGGATTGTAGAGAACAAGCCAAGCCAGCCATTTTTAGCTGAAATTTTAGAGGTACCTCCACACTTCTTTATATTGAATTGTCCGAACCTAATTCTGTTAATCACCTTCAATTAGCCACTGTTAACACGTCTAGAGTAGAAATGGCTTTATTGCTCCTACAAAAATATTGAAAACACACATTGTTTCTAGTAGAAAATACATGTTCAACTGACAGCAACCACCACACACAACACATTATTGAAAGCATAAAAATACTAATGGCCATCATTACTGATCTCACTCGAACTAACACCACCCAACAATGCCACTGAGCCGGTTGGTTCTGTTCCCGATGTCCCATCACTATAGTTCACTATCCGAGTCGGCTGAACAGATGGCCGTGGTGGGATTTGGATGTTCTCAGCATTCGGACTCTCGAGCATTTTCACCACTTCACTCATGGAGGGCCGATCAGCTGGACTCATCCGTATGCACCAAAGGCCAACCACAGTCATCTTCCTTTCTATTCTTTTCTCATGCTCGTCATCATCGATTTCTATATAAGCTTCTCCAGACTCGATATCCTTGCCTTTTTCAAACCTATCGTAAATCCAGTGCGGAAAGTACTGACTAGATTCGTCGTCATTTCCCATTATGTCCCTGTTCAGCCCAACCATTTCCATAAGCAGCATCCCGAAGCTGTACACGTCAGCCTTATACGAAACCCCGCCTATACTTCTGTTGATGAGTTCAGGGGCCACGTACCCTATCGTCCCCCGAGCAGCAGTGAGAGTCACCGTATTTTTCTCGGTGCTGTACAGTCTCGCGAGCCCGAAATCGGATATTTTGGGCATGAAATCTTCGTCGAGAAGTATGTTGTGAGGCTTGATGTCGAAATGCAGGATTTGAATGTCGCACCCTCGGTGCAGATAATCTATCCCCTTTGCCACACCAACCGCAATCTCGTACTTCTTCTCCCAGCTCAGAGGTTTCGGACTTTCCGTAAAGATGTACCTCTCGAGTGAGCCGTTGGGCATGAAGTCGAAAACGAGTGCTCGTTTGTTTGACATTCTTCCTGCGTAGAAGCCGACGAGTTTGACCACGTTGACGTGGTGGATCCTCCCGATGGCAGCAATCTCGTTGATGAAATCTTGTCCATTGTCTCGGGATTTTTTGGTGAGGAGTAATTTAACGGCCACGATTTGTCCGCTTCGGAGCTTTCCTTTGTAGACAGAACCGTAGCCACCTTGGCCGAGTTTGTGGCGAAAGCCACTTGTCATTCTCTTTATGTCTCTATAGGAGTAGCGGATGGGCTTGAGATTGTTGTTGGTGTTCTGCAAGAAGCCTTCGATTATATCGAATGTCGACAAATGCTGTCTCCGGAGCTTGTGAATGATTAGCCACACCAGGCAAAGTATTCCTATTATGGTCCTCAGGGCAAGGTAGGGAAGAACTCCATACTCTTGAGGAAACAAGGGTGATTGAATCAGCAGATAATTGCTCTATTTAGTATTGTCTTCTTCATAAATATGTGCATGTGTGTGTACATAATATGTAGTTCTAATAAGAATCACATTCTAGTATGAGAATCATGTTTAGCGAATTCTATATGATGCTACTTTTGAATAGGGATGTCAATAAAATCCATAGGATCTGCCCGCGTTTCTGGTCGGGTATACTCGGATTGAGCTGGTTTCGGGTATAGATTTGCTTCCCGAACCTCGGGTTAGGTCGGGTTCGGGTTTAGTGCAAAAAACCACAACCCTACCCGTTTACCTGCAAATAAGGTGAGCATGGTTCGGTACGGTTCAGAGATTAAAAAATCTCTGGAACCGTACCAAAAACTCGATTCGGTTCGAAAATTTTTATTTCTTGATAAGGTTCGGTTAGGTATTCGGGACTATCAGGACGGTTTAGTTCGGTTCGATTTGGTTCGGAGCTCTGGAGATTTTTAATTGTTTATAATTTTTTTTTGAATAACTACAATAATAACAACATACACAGTATATTCCCAACAGGTTGGGGTCTGAGGGGGTCAGTTGTACGCAGACCTTACCCTTGTAATTATACAAGGAGGCTGTTTCCGTAGCGACCCAAGGTGCATTGCGCCGTTTGATATATTTTTTTTTCTAGAAACTTCACTAATAGAAGAAGCACTAGAATTTAATTGAGCCATTTTGATCTAGTCCATTATTAGCACTATGCCAGGAGAATTGTCAACAATGACTCTTCCAGCTCCATTTGCAAATGGCTCAATTAAATTCTAGTGCTTCTTCTATTAGTGAAGTTTCTAGAAAAAAATATATCAAACGGCGCAATGCACCTTGGGTCGCTACGGAAACAACCTCCTTGTATAATTACAAGGGTAAGGTCTGCGACCCCCCAGACCCCAACCTGTTGGGAATATACTGGGTATGTTGTTTTTTTCGAATAACTATCTATTTATATTTAAATTTTTGAGTTGCTTTAAACAAATTCAACATTCATCAATACTTCACTATATTATATAATTTATTCGAAATCAACCTTAGAAAATATAGAAATAACTCAAATTTTCAAATAAGTCTGAATTTGTTCAACTAATCATGGAAATAGATATCCGAATATAATATAACTTAATTGTTTTTTTTGTTTTTTTTTTTAGTATTTCTTTTAACTTTTTATACATTTTAATCATAAGATGGAATAAGACTAAGAAAAGTATTATATTTGTAAAAGTACATTTTCCAATTAATTGTAGATCAAGTGTTATTATTTATTAAGCATGGAACTTAAGTGAAGTTTATTTATTTTTTACTATATCTTATTAGGTATTTTCAAAATACTCAAAGTATATATGATTGAACTTTGAAGTTGATATAAAATTCATAATTTCAGTTCAGTACGGTATGAGATGGTTCGGTTCGGTCCTCAATACTGATATTTGTGAAATCTCCAGAACCTTGTCAGTTATTTATTTCGCGAACAGTTCGAAAAATGTCAAATAGTCAACAATTATTTTTCGGTTCAGAGTGAATTCTGTTCGGTTTTCGGAACGGTTTGAAATTCTCCTTGTCCCGTGCTCAGTCCTAAACACTTAAAATCAATAATTTATTCATATTTGTATTTATATTTGAAAATTTTTATGATTATAAAATTAGTCGTGCCATATGTGATTAAGAAAAAAATTAGCGAATTTTGTATTTTCACATTAATGGTTATTTTTTTTTTGTTATTAGTATTTTGCATTTGGTATCAAATTTTATTATAAAAAAATGTTAATTACTTATTTTTTATATCTAATAGGTTCATATATATGATCAATAATAAACGGTAAAGAAATTTGACCATATAGCATGTATTTCATATACTTGAATTTCTTATAAGTAATTCAAGCTAGCTCTATTAGGTTATCATCGATGCAAAATGCAATATATAAAAATATTAGTGGTGAGTTAGTATTACATAAGAATATAAAATATTAAAACTGCTATTTAGAAAGAGTTGAAAAAACTTAACACAATACAACAAAAAATACTCTTTTTATACAAACTATGAATTGAGAAAAAATATATTCATATATAATATCTTAGCAAAATTCACACAAAATTTAGGGTATGTTTGCATACAAGATTTTTTTAAAAAAAATTCAACATTTTAACCCAACCACTTTTCTTAACTCAATTTTAACTCAACCCTACTATTATTAATATTATCAATATAATTAAATAATATCAATCAATCATTCATATACACCACATCAATCTTAATTCACTATTCATCCACTCACATTATTTTAACTGACTATCACTACAAATCATCACTCTCATACTTTTACATCAAATCAATTTTAATTATTTTATTTTAAATATTATTTTAATATACCCACTAACAACTAACCATACCACCTGTTTTAAAATTAACCAAACCAAACCAAAAAATCTAACAAAACAAAAAAAAATTATATCCAAACATGCTCTTAGCTTTTTTGTACTTGTATTATTACATTTTTTTTAATGAAAAATCCTCATTTTTAAGTCATTTCCCGCTCTTTTTTTAGGGTTAATTATAACAAAAGACTGCTAAATTGTATATTAATGAATAATGATTATATTTATTTAATTGTTATATATATAATAATTATTATTAAAACTAACTAATTATAATTTACATTATATGAAATATGAAAGTTACATAAGCATAAAAAATTATATTGTAATTTTTTTTTAATTTATTTATTTTAAAATCATTATTATTATTTTTTATCTCATTAAACATTGTTTTGTTAAGCAAACGAATTGGTTTTAACATTATAGTTGAATCCTTAAAATTGCATAAGCGATTGTTATAATATTAAATTTAATATTTTTTCGGCTAATTCATCAATATAGTGATTCATTTGCAATTAAATAAATTTGTTCGTTTATTTTTACTAGTGTTCAAATTTTTAAAATATAATACTATTATATAACTTATAATTTTAGTATTATGCACACGTATAATTTATAATACTTTATGTACTTTTGTACATGATGGATTAGTAGTGTATTTTAAAAAATAGCGCCACTGCATATATGAGGAGTCAGTCCACTTATGGATCATAGATCTTAATGAAGTAATTGTTAAAAAAACTCACCCGTTACTATCCCAAGAACATATATAGTCCCTGCACGTAAATCAGATAAAGATGATTAGCACAAAATACTGTTGATCTGAAACGGTATTGTTGTCGTAACTGTATATAAAACAATAGTGAAATATATTCCTCCTTATAATTCGTCATATTAAACATGAAAAAACAACTTCTTCCATAGCAAAATGAATGTTGAAAGAGTAGTATTACAATACTCATGTAATACAAGGGTGCTAATTACAAATTTTATACTTAAACATTTTCGAAAAACAAAAAAAATATTTTAAGTTTTAATTCTTGAAAATTGAACTTTTAATTTTTATTTGAATGACACTGGTCACATGTAAGACTCTTCTGTCGTATATTATAATAATTTTTCTAACTCATATCACATATATAATAAGCTTGATAAATAAATGTATTTGACAGATAACTAATTATTATAATTATTTTTCATTCAAGAATGATTAAATCTATTTTTATATATAAAACTATATATAATTTTTATTATATATGCGGTATGGGTCAAATTGAAGATCGTTAAACGATAATTAATTTGATATATTATCATATAAGAAAAACTGATAACGGATAATAATTTACTAAGTTTTAAAATATGCTTATAATTTTAATTGATAGTATTTTGTAATTTTAAAAGTCCGAAAAATCCAAATCTACATAAACACTACTTTGTACTACTTCGAACACCAAAATTTAGCATATTGGATTATGAAGCACCAAAGTTGATATTTAAAGCTACTAGAGACTGATAGAACAAAATTAACTTTACCATCATGTTCATGAATTAAAATTGGGTAATGTATATTGATTGCAACTTGCACTATACGTGTTTTTGGGTTTTGCAACTTACAATATTTTTTTTGTGAAATGCAACTATGAACATTCATAACCTCATCTATATCTTGACCATATGATCATCCTAAAAAATGGACACTATGGTCAAAATGCAGACAAAAAGTTATGAATGTTTATGAAGTTCGTGTTGCATTTACCAAAGAACTACTATAGTTGCAAAGTCAACATATATACATATATATATATATATATATATATATATATATAGGGAAAA